CTAGATCAACTCGGCTGTTGATCCTGATCAAGAATATATATACTTTATATAGTCGGAGGTGCCTCCTTCACTGCGTTGCAAACTTCTGACTGAAATTATAATACCCTGCAAGGGTATAAAAAAAAGGAAAAGAAAAGGAGAACCAGCCAGAAGCCGACGATGCAGAAGCATCGAAGATCGTTTTCCCCCTCTTGTTAAGGAAAAGGGCAGAGACTCCGCTCCGGAACCCCTCGAATTTTGTCGCCTCTTGTGGATGTGGATGTGGATGAGTTGCTGTTGCCGTTCACGCGTCGTAAACTCGGTAGCACCAAGAAAGACAATGCAAACAGGAAAAACTTCCGTAAATAGCAGAAATACACGGCGAAAAAACAAGACGATAATATCAGTTGATAATTACGCCTCGGAAGTGATTCAAATTAGGTGTAGATACAAAAGAAGATTGTTTTTGCTCTGTGAGTAATTTTAAGTGAGCTTTACAGCAGGCTGCACTACGTTACACCAACAACAACAAACATAAGATGCACAGCTCCTTACAGTTTTTAAGAATTTTAAGACATGGCTCCAGGTTATTCTTTATATTTCTTTTCTTTCCATTTTGTATTCCCTCAAAGAAAAATATGTTTCTTTTTAAGTAACCACCATTTACAGTATTTGCATTCATATTTCAATATTTATGTATTATTGTGTTACATTTTTCAATGTACAAACAGAGAAAGACAGCAAAACGTCGAGAAAAAGGGAACCTGTCACCATCAGGGGCCATGAGATATGCAAAGTTTCTCTTTCCTCTGGTACATTTTCTCAGCACTGCAAGCTATTTGAAGAATTTCCATTTGCATTTTAATTAAGTGAATGGACAAATGACACCAGGGGCCAGAAAGCTAAGCGGGGATGGCCACTGTTCGGGCAGAAAACTTTATTATCTGTATAAGCAATTATGCATATCATAAAACACTTTAAACATTAATGAGTGTCAGCAGCGGGAGACGGCAAAGTAAGGCCAGAGAGAAGCCGAGTCATCGTCTCATTTGGACCCCAAAAAGCCAGAGACTCGTTGCCATTCCATTCATCCACTTGGGCAACTCAGCCTCCCAAGAGACAGACGAGCAACACGGCGGGTTGGGGTAAGAAAATGTTTATTCAGAGGTGTACAAAAAATAAACGAAAAAAAGAAATCATTCGCGTTGAAAACGTTTCATATTTCAGTAACAGTCAACTTCAGATATAGATATCGAATAACAGAAATTCTTTTCGATTTAAAACCCTACAAAGTTATTGTGCAAAAATTAGTAAACTTAAAAATATGTTTTCATTTGTTATTGAGCTGCAAATACACCTGATATTACTGACATTTAAATAGTGTTTATTTACATTTCTCTGATGTATCCATCTTTACAAATAGCCTTTAGTTTGTTTATATTTATATTGAATCTTTAAGACCGCATTGTTTTCCTATATTTGTATTTATCAAGTGTTTTTATTTGATTTTGGTAGTAAAGAGTACGAAAATAGTAAATATGTATGTATAATCAAGTGTGCAAACATTTTGGGGGAGATCTGAGAAACGCTGATTGTTTTATGTTATGGGATAAGAGTAAATATTTGGTTCAAATAAGAAATAAAATACTAACATTGGAGAAATTCCACAAACAAATTTGTGAAAGTAATGATCAGGTAAATTCTTTTAACTAAAGTATAACTTGTAGGAATTAAACATTTTAATATTATTTAATTTGTTTTTTCTTGTCTAAGACAAATTTTTCCCATATTTATGAGTCACTTTATGCTTTCAGTATTCTTTATTTAATGAAATACTTAGCATTAGTTAAGCATCCATTTCGATAATCTATTTTAGACACAGGAAACACACAAATAGATCATTGTGCCCCCTCTCCGATTTGCATGTCGGTTTATCGTTTATCATTTATCGTTTACACTTCCATCTCTAAATGGACAGCCACAAAACGGAGGGGGCAAAGACATTCAGGCAGAAACAAAAGCAAAAAAGAGCTAAAAGAGACGCCCCCAAACTGATTCGGTTAGTTAGTTTATGGGCAAAGTCAGCGTGTTGCCACTTTATTGCCTGCTTTACATTTCTGTTAGTTTTCGGTCCGCACCCAGGGGCCAAAACACACACACACACTCACGCGCACAAGCAAACAAGTCGAGTCGTGTTATGCTTTGCGGCCAAATTAAAATTCGACTTAATCGTTTAAACATTTAAAAGGCAAACTAAAAGCCAGCAGGCGTCGCAAAGTTTCCCATTCCCCAGCTTCTCCTCCGGGTTCCTTTATCCTCCTTTTTTTCCCCATACCATCCCACCTCCTTCCCTTTCCTTTTCTTTCCTCTTCCTTTTTCCTTTTTTTTTTGTTGTCTTTCCTTTTTGCATGCGCAGCTCAACATGCGCCAAAAGTTGTAGCAGCCTGTTGCTATCCCGCTCGCACAGCCAGGCTTTAATGAGTGAGCGCCATACAACAAACATGGCTGCCACTGCTCTTTCTCTCTCTCGCTCTCATTTCCTCTTTCCCTCTCGCTTTGCAACTCCAAGCGAAAGAGAGGCATCAAAAGCGAGCGAAAGAGATGGCCTTCCGAAAGTGGGGAGCATGGAGATTTTTACGGGATAAGTACCACAGAAGCAGGAATGGGAAAGGAGATGCTCTTCTTTTTGCAGTACAACTCAAATGTTAATTAAAATTTAAATGCTTACAGGGGACCCGTGGCAAATTAAATTTTGATTGATTCATCACAGGACCTCTCTGCGTCACTTCTGCTGAGCCGGCGAAAAAAAGAAGGAAAACAGGAGGGCAACAGAGAACAAATGAAATAAAATTGTCACAAAAAGCTCCGTTTCCAAGTCGCCTTGACAATCGCCCCGAGTTTCAATTACCGCCGAATCGCTTAACTACTGAAAAAGGGCAATAAACCCAAATGGTCCGGAAAATAAATGTGTATATTAAAACATAAAATATATGTACGAACATTAGCGGCAGCAGCATCAGCATCAGTTTGGGCACTAGGCTAAATTATAAATCGGATTTATGACCCATAATAATATTTTTTTCGAGAGTCCAAAAGTAAGCGTAAATGTTAAGGCCAAAAAAGAAGTAAATTAAACAGCTTGTCGAGTAATTTCAATTTAATGCCTTTTTTTTCTAACTTTAACGTATTTACCGCATTTAATTATTGAATGTAGATATGCATGAACACTAATGCTTTTCATAATCTTTTATGTTGCCTAAATAAAATATATTATTTATGAGTCATTAAGTTTTTTATAAGTGAATAGTAAATTGGTTAATAGATATTGGTCATTAAAATCAATTGCAACTTATAGATTAAATTTGAATAAGTTGGATTTGAACAATTTAGATAAGGATGCAAGAGGCTTTGCCATGTCTCATATAAGTTTGGCTAGAACCGGTTGGGAATTATACAATTGAGGCAATTTTGGACTTCTACAATAGTAATACCTCTAATTGGGCAGAAAAGATCGCTACCAATAACTTATACTTCCCATTTGGTAATTTCCCTAGTCTCATCTATGCTTGGCTAGAACTTTTTGGGGAATTATAGAATTCAGAAAAGCTTCGACTGTAAGTTACACCACTAATTGGGTAGAACATCTCCCTACTAATCACTTCTTCTTTCCCATTTGCAACTTAAACTCACTTTTCTTTTGATTTCAGTCCTTGCATGATCAGGTGCTTAAATTTTATAGCATGGGCGTAGTATTTACCACTGTTCCGTTCCGATTTAGTCATTATCCCAGCACACTTTAGTAATGCTAATTCTGTTGGTGGGGCCCCAAGATTGCTCCTAATGCCACGCTGACATGCAATCATCAAACTTTTGGTTTTCCATTGTGTTCCACAGTTTTTTCCTCGTTACATTATTTATTTGTTGTTGTTTCTGAAAGGTTTCCACCTCTGACAAAAGAGGGCAATGAAAAGAATTCCAACTCGGGAGGGAAGACTCCGAAACAAAACGCAAAGAACTCGGAGGCAGTGTGTGGTGGTGTTGTTGCTGTTGTTGATAGCAATCAACATCAATTAAAGCAGCTGTCTGTCTTTCTGTCCCGCTGTTGCTGTTGCTGCTGCTTTAGCCGTGTAATTATATTCCTTGTTGCGCCTTTTGGCTGCATCATCATCATCATCATTATCATCACCGCGATCATCGGCAATGCATTATGCACTACTACCAGCAACATGTTGCTGCTGCACCTCCAACTAGTAGCAACTCTCTGTCCGTCCGTCTGTCCGTTTGTCCGTCTGTCCGTCTGTCAGTTCTGATGGCAACTGTTGATAATTATAATCCGCTTGTGGTTAAAATGGTGTTGCCTACCTTACTGGCGATAAGCGCGCATGAATAATTATGTTGCCGCTGTCGCTGAGCATAGCTGACGTAGCTGTTGCTGTTGCAGCTAATGCTGATGTTGCTGCTGCTGCTGCTGTTGCTGTTGCTGTTGTAGCAATGTGTGCGCGACAACTCATGAATAATTAATGCACTGCACCGCAGCGACTCTGTTTCTGTCGCTGGCTAAATGTTGCTGCTGCAACTTGTCTGGCGTATCTTTTCAATTACAGCCGGAAATCGTGAATTACGACGGACAAGTCTTAGCTGGCAATAAAAAGAGGCAAAAAAAAGCAGCAGTAGCAGCAGCAGCACTGCCATTCTCATTGTTGATTAACTTTGACAGTTGCTATTGTTGCTGAGCAAATATTTATTAAATACACAGCAGCAATCTCCTCTGAGGGTGCCGACAACGACAACGACGACGACGACGACGATGACAACAATTAACACTCAAACGGCAGTGGCAACTATTATCAACTCAATTTGAATAAATTCGCTCGTGACAAAACGCAAAAGGTAGGTGAAAACACGCTAAAGTTCCCACCTTAAATTAAATAAGCAATGAGTGGGTCTTGCAAAAAATACAGAAAAATAAAAAAAGGTTCGGGGCGGTCGCACAATTGGCACTTGAAAGGCATCAAGATACAATGGCAATAACTGCAGCAGCAGCAGCAGCGTCAAACAAGCTAAACAAGTATTGCTGCTGTGCCGAGCAACAGCAACAGCAAAAGCAGCAGCAACAGCAACAGCAGCAACATCAGCAGATAAAAGGCAGACAAAAGGCACGAGATGTGAGAGACGTCTAGGGTTGCTGCCTGGGAATTGAATTCCATTCAAAAGACGGCAGCAGGCTGTTTGTCATACTTGCAACAGCAACAGTAACAGCAACAGCAGTGGCAGCATTGGCCAGAAGCAGAACCCAGTGAAATGGCTTACATGCATTTCTCTCCTCCCCCCTCCACACTCTTTGCAGAGGCAGGCGTGTTGAGGTGTGTTGAGATAGCATCTTGCATAAAATTACTGCCAGTGGAAGCAGCAACAGCAACAGCAACAGCAGCAGCAGCAGCATCACCAGCAGCAGCAGGAGCCAGAGCCACCAGCGACGTGGCTGGCTGATGCTATGCCACTGATAGCCTCGAAATTGTTGGCAGTTGCAATTTGCTGTTTGGAATTTTAAGCGAGCCAACAATGAAGTTCAAACCGAAGCAAAGTGAGGGAAACAAAAAGCGAACAAAAAAGATGCAAGTAAAATAAAAAAAAGCAAGAACCGAAAGGAAGAAAGCCAGAGGAGCCCCATCCCGACAGCAACATCATTCTCATGCTCATCAGGAGCAACAGCAGCGGCAGTCGAAAAGCCAGGGCTTCCAAGTTTAACCCATCGTCTCTGGTATCGATTTTTGATTGCCTTTAAAAGAAAAAAACATTCGATTTTCGGAACAAAGAAAGTCTAGATTGTTGCCAGCAAAATTGCTTTTAACTTATAGTTTTTGGGCGGAAACATGTCATGTTTGCATAATGCCTAGATATGTGGCTTACAACTTTGGGAGAAAGGCATTACAACCAAGTAGATTATTATTTTCGTTTTAGAAAAGCCTTGTTTTTATATAGATTCCTCAGATATTTAATATAATAATGAAAACTGGACTATATTAAGCTTGAATTATAAATAAATACTAACTTGAAATATGTGATAGACAGAAAACTTGTAGGGTTATATTATTTACAGACAAAATAATATATTATTAATACAGGAAAGGAAATGCATAGCTTTTTCCCCTTGCTATTACCAGCTTTAAAAAAATTTAAGAGGATAAATTGTATAAAATTCCCGCTTAAAGCTTTAAAGGTAATGAAACTTGAGTCAGCAAAGGATATTTAACGCCAGTTGGCGGATAAAATGTGTAAGTTTTTTTGCCAACTTGGCTAAAAATGGGTTAAGTTTTAGGGGGTCCCCCTTCTGGGCACCAAAGTCGAAGAGCTCCGTTGAATTCGAGACCTGCGATTGCAATAAAAGTCAGCAGGCAGGCACTGATGTGTTTGCTCCTGCTGCTCCTGACTTGGTCCTCCTTCCCCAGTTGAATTTTATTTCACTGCTGCCTTTCGTTTTTTATTTATTTTTTATTTATTTTTTCAACTCGCTTCCATTCAATTCCTGCTGCGGCTGCTTGTGCTGTTGGCTTTGCATAAGCCCGTAGTTCATTTGAGCAAAAAAACAAAACAAAAATCGAAATAAGATATAGCCAGGCAGCAGCAGCAGCAGCCAGCACGATTTATGTTAATCAGACAAGAAGGTAGCGGGTTTTAGGGGCTTTTGGGGAGAAGTATGGAATCAGAGTCGGGAGTCGGGAGTCGAGAGTCAGCGCCAGCCAGTTGCATTCAATCATCTTTTATCTGGCAGGCATCGTCGGAGTTTGGTGGGGATTTCTTTTTCTTTTCGGTATTATGTATCGCTTAGTTGCATTTGGCGCACTTTCGGATTTTCTATCTATGTATCTTTCTTTTATTTTTTATTTTTTTTTTCAGTAAAACTTAAACCCAAAACGCCAAGTCAAAGTTTGATTCGGGTTTTTCCCCCAGAGAGACTTCAATTTGATTCGTTATCGATTTGATTTCAATTTGCCAAATGCTTTAGCTATTTATCTCAATGACTAACTTTGAAGAGAAAGTCGCATTAAAATACTCGTTAATGAGTTGAATAAAGAGCCTACAGAAATGTAATTATATATTAAATTAAAAGAAAAAAAAAAGGTATTTAATCTCATTTATAATTGAACAACAAAAACCATACAAAACACTACGCTTTGTGGCTTGCTAACATAAATAAACTAATTTATTATGTTCATCGAGCCTCTTTATTACATTTATTGAATTCAAATCATTTCCGTTTGTTACTTACTCAATAAAAACAATAGTAAACGTGTCGAAATACCAACCTGCAATGAGAAAAATAATATTATTTAATTAATTTCAATTGAAAATCAATAAGTACAATTCTTATAATAATACAAATATGCAAAACATTTTCAATATAAATTGTTTGCATTTAATTTGCAATTGAAAACCAAACAAAAATGATGGACACAGAAAAGGGAAGGGGAACCAAGTTTATGGTTTCTGATGAAAATGAATTGCGGGAAAAGCGGAAAATATCTGTCGACTGGCAAAAATTCTGCCTTAAATTCATTTACCAAGTTGAATTTTAAGTGCCCCAGCTTCTTTTTCCGGCTACCACCCCCTCCTCCTCCACTCACTTTGTTTAGTTTGGGATGCTTTGGTTTCCCCTTAAATAATTCACAAACATTTTCGGCCAAAAAAACATATTTCTCGTTTTTTCGTTCGTTTGCAGTTTTATACCAGGAAAATTCAGAAGACAAGAGATGCAACTGGGAATAAACTGAAAAGTTGATAGCAGGGTGAGTCAGCTGTAAAAATATTTTGTATTTTTCGGATTTATTTGTTAGATTAAAATCTATAAAGGAGAGTAGGTCTGAAGTATATTTTCCTTTGTTTATATAAATTCATAATTCTTGATTCGTGTGGTTCGTAAAAAACAATATTTGTGTTGCATGCTTTTTCCCGTTATGGCCTAAACCTTCAATGTGACCGTTTATTTTGCAGAATATTTTTTAAATTCGTCAAGTTAATAGAAAAAAGCCTTTGTTATCACATTAAATAATAACATAAAATGTACAAAATTGCCTGATTAATATAAATCCTTAATTTGAAGTTTTTTTCATTTAAAAAGTAAACACTGTATGACCATATATTTCTAATTTTTTAAATAATAATACTCCAAAAGCAAACATTCTATAACTAAAGACCTGTCTAAACTCTAATTTGCTGCCCCTATCTTTGAATATATCATTATCTAGATTATAGAATCCAAGTATTTTCCGATTTTTCCTATTTTCCTAACTGAATCACCCTAACTCGGTGGATATAACATGCGAATGACTCGCTGACTAGCAGCTGACTGAATGGCTGAAATGCTCAAATGACTGACTGCCCGTCCGACTGTTCGACTTGTTCTGCCCTCCTCTTCTGCATTTTTCCTCAACAAAAAAAGTTGGAAAAAAACGTACAGAAGAGGAAGAAGATATATAGTAGTTGTGCCATTTCTGCGCTTTTCATGCACTTTTTGCGCCGGATGTGCAGCACGGCGCAAAATACAAAAAAAAAAAACTAAAAATGCCGAAAAAGAGAGCACAGCAAAAGAAAATTGTAATTTCAACAAAGCAAAGAAAATGGCACAAAAAAAGAAGAAAAAGTACGACCCAATGGCCACTCCCGCACACGCCCCCATCACTATTTTACAATTTTTTATACACACAAAACCATACATATATCTATATATATATATATATATAAATGTATATGCATTTATTTTGTGTAGTTTTTGTTGAACTAAAAACTTTTCGCCGTTAGGAAAGGGGAAAATGCGTTTTTGATGCTGTTTTCTGCTGGGTGGATTGGGTGGCTCTCTGGGCTGCATTTAGCCACCGGCACTTGCCAACTTAAAGCATTAAGCTGATGCCAATTATGCATTGTTTGCCTGCTCCCGTTCCCGTTCCTGGATAGCAATTGTTAGCCCCTCGCCACGGCCTGATGATGGCCTCCGCCTCTGCTATCGCCGGTCTGTGTTGGGCAAAATTGAAACAACTTTTGCAATTACTTTCCGTAAACAAAACAAATGTGCTCCAGTCACGCAATCGCCTCCGTCTGTCCCCAAAAACAATAATTACCCGAGCATTGTTCATGCATACATTCATATAATGGTAATGACAATAACGAGCCTCAGCGGTTACCAGAGACTGAGGAGGGTTGGGGAAAAGGTAAGAGAGGGTTGACAGGGGGTAGGAGGTAGAGAGTTGCTCGTTCGTCTTGAACAAGTTGTTAAATTGTTATTTTAGCGCTTTGTTCGCTCCCCTGCACTCTGCAACCTGTTCCCCGGGTTAGCGATTAACAGAACTCTCAGGTACGTACAGTGAACGCCCACAAATAAAGAAGCCTAATTGAAGTGTTTTTACCCCCCATTCAATCATGACCAGCGAAGAGGCAATTCGAAAAGTTATGACTGAAATAATGCCATAGAAGAATTGTAAAGCCAATCAGTAGGAAAAAAAAGTTATAAACCTACAATCTTCAAGTTAAACTATTATCGGAGGTTAACGTTTATATACTCGGGTTATTTGTAATATAAGATTTGAAGGGGGTTTCAATTTAATAACTTGGGCGTAAATAATTAATGAACTATTAGAAAGGGAAAGAACTTATGGTTTATTTCATTTTAAAATATTTTCCTAACCTGTAGTTAACCTAACTTATAGTTAGCTTAATTTGAAGTTAATCGTTAAATCTTAAGAAACTTAATATAGTTATTCACGTAGTCCTGATATATTTAATATATGAAGTACATATGATTCGTACAAATATAAACCAAATCTGCTATCCTCAGGTTATTACATTTCATTAATTTTCGTAACCCTTGGTTAGCTTGTACTTGGCTAAATTTTAAAACCCCTCGACCATATATTTTATAAATGTCCATCAAATTGAATTTATAATTATATATTTATATTTTCCCTTTGAAAGCTTTATTAATTCCTGATGTAACAAGACTTGTTAATGCCTCGAAAAGTTGAAAGGGATATGACATTTATGTTCCCTTGTAATTTACCGTCTGCTATTGTGTGGTTAAACCCTGATGCGTATATATCAGTTATTTATACATATATATATATTTGTATGGACAGAAACACACCCTTATCATTCGCTCCCTGTCCCCTTTACTCATTTGCATATCATA